CAAGCAGTGAAAGCAATGAAGATGAGTATATGTTTCAAGAATTAAATTATCAGTGTGAATATGAGCAAAGTAACAAAATGTCAAGAGTAAAATCAAAATTAAAAGAAAATATTGCATTTTGGAGGTCAGAGTTAAACGCAAATAGTTTTGTTATGAATACTAGTATTATCATGTATGGCTATTTATACCTTTCATGCAAAATCAGTAAACTAGAGTGAAAATAAACGCTTCAATATAGCAGCTGTAAAACTTGATAAGAATCGCAAAGAAATATTCACTGAAATTTGTGATATTTACGGCAACCAATGTTTAATAGACACATGAGCAAGTAGATTTCAATGAACAACAATGTTATTCGGTAAAGCAGTTACATTTCTGAAGGAGTGCAGAAAGCAACTTTTTTGCAAAAAAAAATCCAAAGGTTTTTGAGAGGAAGGAACTAGAAATAGGAATTCACTACACTGAATTTCTTCATGACAGCGTACAAACCCACATGCCATGAATAGTTAAGGAGTTTTGGGGACAAACCGAAAGGTAATATTTTGTCACACATGTACATGTACAATTATATTTGCCAGATCTGTCACCCTTTGACTTTGTTCATTTTCGATTCCAAAATAAAAAAAACACCTTTAAGAACTTATGAATATCATCAAGTATGGCTATGTTATACCTTTCATGCAAAATCCTCCTAGCACATTTATTAACAAGATGTGTTTGTGAAACACTGATACCCCCGTATGGCAACATAGCAAAGGTTAAGCTTTCTCAAGTGCAGATCAAATATGTTGGTACCTAAAGTAAGGCCTTTTTGACAAGAAATACAAATGTAAAATATAAAACACTAGCATCACCTATTCAAGGGTTATGACCATGGTTAACATTTTTAAAGTAGGACAGACTCGAGGGTCAAGGTCAAAGGGTAAAGGTTGTTGGTTTCTAAAGAAAGGCCTTGTCTCACAGATTACATATGGGAAGTATGAAAGCCCTGGCTCTCAACGTTCAAAAGTTATGACCAAGCTAGGTTAAAGTTTGTAAAAAGAAGGTCAAACTCCAAGGTCAAAGGTTCTTGATATCCAATGTAAAAACTTGTCACATGGATTACACATTTGAAATATGAAAGCCCTAGCCATTACCGTTCAAAAGTTATGACCAAGGTTAAAGTTTTAATAAGTATAAAAATCTCCAAGGTCAAGGTCAAAAGGTCAAAATTGTTGATTTCAAATGAAAGGTCTTGCCACAAAGAATTGATATTTGAAATATGAAATTCCTAGTATCTACCGTTTAAAAATTAGGATCAAAGTAAAAGTTTGGATTTTTTGTGTAAAAGTGGGTAAAAATCAAAGGTCAAGGTCAAAGGGTCAAGGTTCTTGGTATAAAATGAAAGGTCTTGTCATATACATAGGAATACATATGTGAAGTATAAAAGCCCTAGTCTTAACCCTTCAAAGGTTATGGTCAACGTTGTATTTTTAGAGTAGGCCAAGCTCCAAGGTCAAGTCAAAAGGTCAAATTTGGTGGTACCCCCAAAAAAGGTCTTGTCACAAGGAATTCATATGTGAAGAATGAAATCCCTAGGCCTCACCCTTCAAAAATTATGGTCATGGTTGTATTTTTAAAGTAGGTCAAACTCCGAGGTCAAGGTCAAAGGGTCAAGTTTCTTGGTATCTTATGAAGCGTCTTTTCAAAAGGATTATATATGGGAAGCATTTATGCCATAGCACTTTCTGTTCAAAAGTTATAGCCAAGGTTACAGTTTTTACATAAGTACAAAAATCTCCAAGGTCAAGGTCAAAAGGTCAAAGTTGTTGGTATCAAATGAAAGTCTTTTCACAAACAATACATATGTCAAGTATTAATATCCTCTTATATACTGTTCAAAAGATATGGTCAAAGTAAAAGTTCAAATCTTTTGTGTAAAAGTGGGTCAAACTCCAAGGTCAAGGTCAAAAGGTCAAATTTGGTGGTACCCCAAAAAAGGTCTTTCACAAGGAATACACATTTGAAATATGAATGTCATAGCTCCACTGAATCAAAAGTTATGGGCAAGGTTAAAGTTTTTGCGGACAAACAGACAAACAGAGAGACAGAGAGACAGACAGAGAGACAGAGAGACGGACACGACAAAAACTTTATGCCCCCAAAACTTCGTTTACGGGGGCATAAAAACAATATATCTACTGTAAATCATTCTGAATTTGTAGGTTCAGCAATTTTAGAACTTGTTTCAAAGTATTCCAGTAGTGGTATATTTGGATGACGGTTGGGTTTGTTCAAAATTCAATGTGTGTTTGGAGATAGCCACTTTTCTTCATGAAACTTTAAATAAATCAGGTTTTCAGATTAATGAAGAAAAATCTCAACATATTGAAACAAGATGTATTTGCGAAACACTGATGTCCTCGTGGGGCAACACAGCAAAGATTAAACTTTTCTTAAATGCAAATTTAATTAATTGGTACCAAAAGTAGGGTATTCTCACTGGAAAACAATTGTGAAATTTGAAAGTGAGCAAATATTAAAGTTTTTAATAAGTACAAAATCTCCAAGGTCAAAAGGTCAAGGTAATTTTTTTCCAGTGAAAGGTCTTGCAACATAGAATACTTATGTAGAGTATGGAAGCCCTTGCCCTAAAGTTATGGCCAATGTTATTTGTATTAAAGTAGGTCAAACTCAAAGGTCAAAGGGTCAAAGTTCTTGTTACAGTGGAATAAATATATAAAGAATGAGAGCAATAGCCATAACCCTTTAAAAGGAATGAAAAAGGCTTACTTTTTTAAAGTAGGTAAAACTCAAAGGTCAAGGTCAAAGAGTCTAAATTTTTCCAATTCAATGAAGGGTCTCCTGACAAGGATTACATATATGAAGTATGAAAGCCCTATCCATCATTGTTTTTTCACAAGTACGAAAATCTTCAAGGTCAAAGGGTTAAGGTTATTGGTATCTAATAAAAGTTTTTTTCAACAAAGAAGACATATGTGAAGTATAAATGACTTGGTATCTACTGTTCAAAAGATAAGACCAAAGTAAAAGTTTGAAATTTTCATGTAAAAGTGGGTCAAACTCCAAGGTCAAGGTCAAAAGGTCAAATTTGGTCATACATAAAGAAAGGTCTTGTCACAAGGAATACACATGTGAAATATTCGAGGCATGGCTCCACTAAATCAAAAGTTATGGGCAAAGTTAAAGTTTTTGCGGACAAACAGACAGAGAGACAGACATCTAGACTAACAGACAGACAGACGGATGGACGCACACAACAAAAACTATTTTTCCCCGAAACCTCGCTTACAGGGGCATAAAAAAATTACATGGTAAGAAATATAAGGGTCGGAATTTTTTTAAGCTTCTGTGACAGAAAGCTAAGGAGCATACCACGTGACCGGCTGTAGAATAGTATCAGATGTGCATTAAAATTGGGGAAGGCTACCAGTATTTTGAAAAATGTTCAACACCAAAACCCCAAATCGTTTCTTTTATGGAAGTTATTCAATTCGTTTTTTCAAGTCTGTTAAAGTTTATAACTTATGTTCTATTAACAAACCTATTTTACAGACGAGAGCACGGGGAATTTTATTTGAAGTGTTGTCATTCATTGGATTAGATTGTAAAAACTCATTCTTCGTTGGTTTCTTCATCCTGACTGATTATACTCCCACTTGAAAAGTAGGGGTAAGGGGTTTATAGTAATGGGATATTTGTCTATCCATCCGTTTGTATGTCCATCCGTCTGTCTGTACGTCCGTCCGTCTGATACGCTTTCGGGTACCCTTTTCTTATCCACAACTCTTCTTCTACCACTGAATGAAACTTAATGAGGCTTCACAGAATTAAATAAGGCTTTCAAAGAATCTTTGTTAAATACTGCCAAAGTACGCCTTCTATTTTTTTTTTTTTTTTTTTATCTGGCACATAATTTGAGCTCCCTTAGTATTACATGGGTATTGCCATTCTTTCTAATATTGAATTTGAAGGGTATATCCATCTCTTATCCGCAATTCTTCCATTCCATTGACAAGATTTAATGATACTTTCATAGATTCTTTATTACATTGTGCCAATGTACATATTACCTCTTGTTTTACTTTTTGATCTGACACTTATTTCGGGTCGCCAAGAGCAAAACATGGACTTTGTCATACTGACGATATAGGAGGCGTTTGGTATCTTTAAAGTGATCTCAGTGTTCATAGTATTCCTAGTTTCTCTTTATCCTGTGGAAATACAAATAACTTAATCGTATCCAATTAATTTAACATTTCTTTGGCATGCCAATGGATAATGTATTGACCGTATTTTTTTTAAATTTAGGGTTGAATTGAATGGGTACCGCTAGGGTATTCGGAACTCGTCGGCTTATTCGTAACTGGTATAATAGACAACTATGTTAACTTGCGAAATAAATTGGGGGCGGTTGGCTTTTATGAAATCACATTTAACTCTACAAGTCATTGAACTACCTTTACAAAAATTGAAATTGAATTGAAATAATGCCTCGTATATTTATGGCACCGCCGAATCCGTTTCTTATTCGGAACTGTTTAAATAACCGTACATACAAATTGGATGAAAACGTTACGTTAATATACCTTTCTCAATACTATTCACTTGATATAACTTTGATTAAAAACGTATTGGTCTTCGCTGAAAGATCCAATACGAATTTCTTTCGAAGCCCTTGTTTGGTATATACTTATTTCTCACATTTTTTAAGTAATTATTATCTATATATATTTTCATAGGTTTCTGTCTGATTTGTAGATGTGCAAAGTACATAACTTGATATCAGATTTTCTGTTTCTGTTCCGCTTTCTTTCCATGTTTCATCAACACCCAAGACTAATTCTAGTGTTAAAGAGTACGCATAATACATGTCGTACCTTTACCCCGAAAACAGAAGATAAATACTGGTTATTCTTGTGCGTATTAATATCCCTACTCAATCATTGGACTGTTCTATATTTATCACGGTCGCATATACCAGGAAGTTTAATTTTAAACAAATACAGTAGTAAGGAATAAACATTAACCATGCTGAACACATTCATACAAGTTAAAAACAGAAGGAAAATAATTGTTTTTCTTGTGAAGTTTACTTTTCTTACTGCGTCGTCAGAAGGTTAGTAACATTTTAAGTTATTATGTAAACAGGCATGCGTTTTATTGATATGAAACATAATTCTTAGAGCGTAACCGACTTAATGATTACATTGTGTCAATAAATGTAGGACAAGAAAGGCAACTGTTTTTATGCCCCCGTAAACGAAGTTTCGGGGGTATATAGTTTTTGTTGTTTCCATGCGTCGGTCTGTTTGTCTGTCTAGCTGTCTGTCTGTCTGTCTATTTGTCCGCAAAAAACTTTAACATTTTCCATAAATTTCGATTTAGTGGAGCTATGAGTTTCATATTTCACATGTGTTATCCATGTCACTAGAACTTTTTAGTGCATTAAAAATTTTGAACCTTTGACCTTGGAGTTTGACCCGCTTTTACACAAAAACCAAACTTAACATATCCTTTAAACATTAGATACCAGGAACTTTTATACTTCACATATACATGTATATTCTATTTGAAAGACCTTTCATTTGATACCAACAACTTTTACATTTTGACCTTGGAAATTTCGATACTTAAGAAAAACTTTCACCTTGACCATAACTTTTGAAATATTAGGGTTAATGCGTTCATAATTCACACATTTAATACTTGTAAGAAGATCCTTCATTGGATACAAAGAACTTCTACCCTTTGACCTTGAAGTTTGGCCTACTTTAAAAAACAAACCTCGACCATGACTTTTTAAGGATTGGGGCTAGTGCTTTCATACTAAACGTATTTAATCCTTGTGACACGACCTTTCAATTGATATCAAGAACCTTGATCCTTTGACCTTGGAGTTTGACCAACTTTTTAAAAATTTTTAACCTTGGCCATAATTTTTGAAGGGTTAGGGCTAGGGCTTTCATACTTTACATATGTATTTTTTGTGACAAGAACTTGCGTTTGATACCAATTACCTTGACCTTTTGACTTTGACCAAAGAGATTTCAGTACTTAGGATACACTTTAACCTTGGCCTACTTTCATATTTCACAATTGTATTTTCAGTGAGAATACAATACTTTGGTTACCAATAACTTGCATTTAAGAAAAGAATAAACTTCGCAATGTAGCCATACGGGGGCTTCACTGTAAACACAAATTGTTTTTTTTAATACAAAATGGGCTTGTTATATTTAATCTTTATTGTTCAGAGTCAGATATTAACCTTTCATGCGCATTTTAAACTGCTTACTTCATTTTCTAAGGTTATTATAAGGTAGCGAATTTAATGGCCAGACCTCATTTGCTATTTAACTATAACATTTGCCCTGTAACTATAGTCCTGCTGGACAGATTATTACGGTTGACGCAAATATAGTTCGTAATGAGGACCTTAGATCACTTATTTTAAAAGGTCCTAAATATAAGGAACCCGATCCTTCAAGCGTCAGAATTTCATAAATATTATGGATTCTGTTGAAAATTACCCCAGACGATATGGGCCAGATATGAAAAAGAAGACGTTGGCACCTTGTCAGAATGGATTAAATGTATCAGATCCATGTTTAACTCACGTATTAAAAGATTAAGGGGCAATATGAAAACCATCTATCCTTCTGTGTTCAATAAACCAGAAGTGAAAAAAGAATTAGATAGATTACACGATCAGTATGTACTGGTTCCCACCGACAAAGCAGATAACAGCATTGTCTTCGTTTGTAAGGCACATTATATAAATTGCATTCTATAGAAGAACTTGGATTTATTTCTACAAGTGGTAATCCTACTTATACTCATACTTCCCTTTCTAAGGAAGAAATTCTTCATAATCACTTGTCAGTTTTGAATACTTTTGATATTCAACAGACAGAGCCAAAATGAATTTGAACTACCTTATATATATATTGGATTCCGAAACTTCATAAGAATCCTTACAAACAAAGATACATTGCAGGTTCCAGTTATTGTTCAACCAAGCCTCTTTCGTTACTCCTCACTAAGATTTTCACCGTAGTGAAGGAAAAACTTCAAGAGTACTGTGCAACTATATATTCAATAAGTGATGTGAATCAGATGTGGATACTAAAATTTCTAAAGAACTTTCGGACAATTTGAAATCACAAGACTTTACAAAAATCAACAGCTTAAAAACTTACGACTTTTCAACTTTATACACAACAATTCCCCACACAAATTAAAATCCGGGCTTTTTGATATCATTGACAGCTGCTTCTTCAATAAAAATGGGGCCCGTAAATTCACTTACCTCGTCAATGGTCATTTGCAAAATTATTTTGTTAAAACAGATTCTGATTGCACACATAAGTACTATGAAGTTGACATCAAGAAGATGATTGGGTTTCTAATTGACAATATCTATGTGGTTTTTGGAGACCAGATATTCCAACAATCTTTTGGAATACCCATGGGTAAAAATTGCGCTCCGTTATTACAGATTTATTTTTATATTCATATGAAGCAGAATTTATGCAAAATCTTATGCATGAAAAGAGGAAAACACTTGCACTGGCCTTTAACTCGACATTTAGATATATCGAAGACGTATTGTCAATTAATAATGGTAATTTCCATTATTACGTCGATTCGATTTATCCTGGTGAGCTTGAGATAAAGATACCACAGAGTCCGACACATCTGTTTCATACTGGAATATTTTACTTGAAAAGGACACTAATGGTAATCTAACAACCAAGCTATATGATAAACGTGATGACTTTAACTTTTCTATCGTCAACTTCCCTTACTTATGCAGCAATATACCTTCATCACCTGCATACGGAGTGTATATATCTCAGTTGATTCGATACGCAAGAGCATGCTCTACGTATGAACAATTTCTGAAACGAGGTAAATTATTGACAAGCAAGTTGATGAAACAAGGATATCAACAGTCTCGTTTACCACAGACTCCACATAAAAACAACAGTGAATTTAACGTTTCCTAATTATTTATTTCTTAAGTTTGGCATTTAATGGCCACGGCTGGTTCAAATCAATTTATGAAAAATACACGTGTACAGTGGGTGCCGACCCAATTGGTTTTTGGCACACCTCCAATAAAAGCAAACAAACAAACAATCAATCAATCAATAAATCAGTCAATCAATATTAACTGTACACATGTCAAAGTTTTACAGGATAAGACTGACGTTTAGCTTCAAAGTTCCTGCAGTTGCGTCAGCCTTATGCATCAATCAATATTCATCAATCAATGTTCAATACGATCAATTAATGTTCAATTCAATCAATGAATGTTCAATTCGATCAATAATATTCAATTAGATCAATCAATGTTCAAACAATATTCAACAAATCAATATTCAGTTCATTCAGATCAATGTATTGTATGCTCATGTTAAGCCAATCAATATTCAAATAAATCAATCAATGTTCAATGTAAATTATGTACAAGTTCCTTGTATTCCATTCCAGAATTATCCACGCAATCATGTTCGAGTTGCGCCCTGTTAACAGCGGCGCAAGTCAAGATGATATGTGTTAAGCTAAATCCGCCAAACGTGCATAGATACTCATTAACTATGCACGCCGCCACCAATGTGGGGGTAGCTTAACACCCTACTCAAATATCCAGCCGTGACCGCACCGATACATATCATATTGAATACACATTATTTTGCGAGTTTATAATAGTTGAGAGTCCACTTTTAAAATTTTCAAGGAACAGCTTATTACCAGGCTTAGAGAGGTGTACCCCTTCGGGGCGGTAATTGTCGGGACTATGATGGATATTTGACTGCTTAATGTACCCTCCATTGTGATGATATAAAATATGTTAAAAATAAAATTGATATCTAGTTAGCGGTTTACCGCCGAAATGACAAAATAATTGACCAGAAATGTTTGGTCTTTGCTGTAAATACTTGCGCATTAGTAATAACGGACAATAAGGACCGCTGATAGCGGGAATAATTAATTGTGTTCCTTTGCCGTACTGGTCTGTCTTTGACCTCCTAAGGTTAACTTCTAAGTAGGATGAAGGCTCATTCATAACGAGATCGTTATTAAGTAATGCTACATTTGAATTTCTAGAGCCTACTGTAAATTCCCCGACTCGAAGAAAACCAAAAAAGGCCAAGGAAAACGCCGCAGAAAAGAGGCTCGCCTCATAACTCGATGTGCACACAACTGGTAATATATTAATTAATTTATGGAGGAGCTGAATCGTTATTGGTAAACGCGAGTCTTTGGAGTGTCTTTCTCTCTTCATTCCTTCTACCATTTTCCGAACAATAAAATGTGAAGTATAGTCTGGTAATTCTGAGGTGGAAATCTTAATCTTATATGATATAGCTGCTAGATATGTTTTGACAGTGCTCACAGCGTAACCTTTGACGGAAAGGAAAGCAACGAAGTTTGTCAATTCCTCGAGCGATGGAGGCCAAGAATTACGGAGATGGAACTCGGACCTGAACTTAAAAAATAAATCGAGGCCGTTGTTGTATGCCGCTTTAGTGTTTTCTGAGGTGGCCATGTCGATTAATCTAACGGTTTCACTCCTGATATCAGTGAGTGAAATACCGGTGGAATAGGAGTTGACTTTACATCTGCCTTTGGGGCTAGTTCCTGGAATTTGGTCCACTGTCGACGAGACAAAGCATCAGCAATATTATTATATAAACCAGGGATATGTTCTGCTTTAAATCTAAAATTATATTTCATTGATAGGTATACTAAATAGCGAACAAAGTGCATTACTCTTTTAGATTTTGACGTCTGTTTGTTCAAGATGTATACAAGGGCTGCGTTATCTACTCTTAATATAACATTTTTTGATCTGAAGTAGTCTCCCCACAATGTCATTGCCATAACTATTGGAACAAGCTCTAAAAAGGTAACATCTCTCAAAATTTCCGTATCCCCCCATGTTGAGGGCCAAGCGAAGTGGGCCCATTTACCGTTAAAATATGCCCCGCACCCTAGGTTCTTACCCCCAGCACTGTCTGTATAGAATTGAAGAATATCACTGATTAACCAATCAACATCATTTAAATAGCATATGCCATTGAAGTGGTTCAAAAAATTGAGCCACATGAGCAAATCGTCTTTGATGGATTTTGTTATGCGGATAAAATGATGCTGCCTTTGTACGCCAATCATCGCGTCGTAAAAACGGCGATTAAAGGCGCGGGAAGATCGCACTGCTTTGGTGCAAAAGTTTAATTGGCCAACGAGAGATTGCATCTCCTTCAAAGTGACTTTAGATTTATTTGCCATTTCTGTCAACGAAATCCTAAGTTTAATTAGTTTGTCGTTGGGAATACGGACTTGCCCGAGACATATGTCAATTTCCAGACCCAGATAAGTTAATTTTGTGACGGGGCCGACAGTTTTATCGATGGCAAGAGGAATTCCCAGTGCTTTACATAACTCCCCAAATTGCCGCATGAGTCTTGAGCAAGCGTCGGATTTCGCTGAACCAGCAAACAAGAAGTCGTCAAGATAGTGCGTAACATGTGGGCAAGCAGACTGTGACCTGACGGTCCATTCCAAAAAGGACGCGAATTTCTCGAATGTAGCGCATGATATAGAACAGCCAAATGGCAAACATTTGTCAATGTAGTATTTACCCTCAAATTTGAAGCCAAGTAAACAAAAATCATCTGGTTGAATTGGTAAAAGTCTAAATGCACTTTTTATGTCCATTTTGCCCAATAAAGCGCCTTTTCCGAGCTGACTTATCATTTCGATAGCGTTATCGAATGATGAGTAGTGCACAGATGAAAGTTCTTTATCAATGAAGTCGTTAACGCTATTGTTATGTGGGTATGACAGATGAGTAATTAAACGCCACCCCCCGCTAGATTTTGGCACGACGCCTATTGGAGACACCCTTAGATTCGAAAGTGGTATATTGTAGAAAGGGCCGGCCATGCGACCCATATCAATTTCACTTTGCAATATATTCTGGATTTCGTTCGGATGCTGGTTTGCCGAAATTAAATTTTTACACTCCAAGTGAGTGCGTGGGCCTATATACTGAAGGGAAAATCCAAATTTAAACCCATTTAACAACTCATTGCCTACATCCTGGTTTGGGTATGATTGTATCAATATTGAAAGTTGATTAATGTCTACTGGAGAATGACCGAGGTGCGTTAGCCCCCTGGGGGTAGCGAAATCTATAGTTTGGGGTTTGCCCTGGGCGTGGTTGCTGATTTGTTGATTGAAAACGAAAAGGCTGCTTTTGCATGGGGAAGCGAGGGGATGGGTTACGAGGGCAAGTGGACATTGGGTGGTCAGATGCACACCTGATACAACGATGTGCGTAAATACAATAGGGTTTACTACATGCGCCCTTGTAGTTAAAATCAAAACACATGCCTTTTGACGGTTCAACTGTTTTTTGGGGAATGGTAATCGAAGAAGTTACGTATAACATCCAACATTGTTTCTCCCTCTCGATTATTTTTCACTCATATGGAGACGTCACCACTTATCGATGGAGAGCTGCAAATTTGACCCACACTCGGCATTTAGGGCCAATGAGCAGCGAATGATCTTTTACGTATCAGCACCTACTGCGACAGAAGACATCGGTTTATACAGTCTCATTCGAGGGACTGGTCTCTACGTTCCACAGTTGGATCTGAACCAGGAACAAATTGTGTGAAAGAAAGAGAAATTGACTTACACCTTATACGAGATTGAAACGAGATAGTATAATTAATTAATTTTTTGCATGTTGTTTGACGTTCTAAAGGAGACAACACCATATATCAGTGAAGGGCTTCAAATTTAGACATTCATTCGGCATTGGGAAGTTCGAAACCATTGAGCATCGAGGGACTTTATCGTACCAAAGCCTGCCGAGACACGGAGCCTCGGTTTTAAGGTCTAACCCGAAGGACCAACAACTTTCACTTTAAGACTCTTATCGCATGGCAAAGGAACAGTAGCTACTTATTTGATTGTTTGTTTTTGTTGTCGGCTTAAGTCAGTAGTAGCTGACCAAGCACTGAGCTACCGCTACTACGGCATACGCGAAAGTATGACTGAAAGGTCAATTTCCATAGTTTTTTTTATTTTTTCCACCATATTTCTTAAAACAACAGAATCTCATTACTTTGTAAAAATTTAAGTATCAGTTCGTGTAGAAATTAGATAAATTTTGTAATATAAAGTGGTAAATGAAAGTTATGAGAATTTGATGAAATGAATTTCTTTTGTTCATAAATGCCCCTTCTGAAAATTGCAGAATCAAGTGCGGGAGACTCCGATGTCCCCGAGAGCGATGTTTTCACACCGTTTAGTTGGCATTAACGCTTGGGATGTATCTCGTAAACTAGAGATAGTGCCATTACAATTTTTCACAGAAAGTTGTAAATGACTATAAGTATCCTACTCTCAAAGTTTCAGAGTCAAGAGCAAGAGACTTCGATGTCACCGAGTTTATTTGCATAATTTATTGATAAATAGAAAATATGTCAGGAAGACAATTATAGTATAGTTGAGATAGAACTTGAGGGGTGTATCTCGGAAACTAGAGGTAGTATAATCAACTTTTTTTCAAAGATGTGGTAAACGCCCTCCTCTCAAATTACAGACCCAGTTCCATGTCAAAAATTAAATTGCAAGATGCGTTCTAGAAATTGCAAACTTTTCTGATTGCCAAAAATAACTTAAGTTATGAATTATCAACATTTGTTCATGGATTACATTTTATTCATATCGCATGAGGAAGTGGAATTAGCAGGCAGCGCAGACATTTACATTGTCGAATCTTGATTTTACTTTAATAGTCATAAATCAATTTAATTATTGCAGAATTCAAAGGTTTATCTTATGGAATAAACCTATGGGGCTAGAATATTTTTAAGACTTCCAAAATATCTGCAAAATCTTTAATTTGATAAAAGATTAATGTCAAACATTCTTGCATATTTGTAGCTGTGTTTTATATGGAGGCTGGTTCTACTGTGTGTTTACCATTCTCTCAAAGTGACAGGACTAACTCTGACAGATTTATAAAGAAAGGAGAAGAAGTTCTGTGTACACAGTTTTCCGGATCCAAAGACACGGGCACCACATATCCTGTTTTATCCAGACCATTTAATTGTACAACAAACGACTCCACCATTTCTGTGTGCATTAATGGCATAACAAACGATGTACAAGGAACGTTTAAGTATGTTATAGATTCAGAAAAGTTGGAGAACTTGACACTTATAATAGCAAGTAAGTGACATTTGCTCAGTTGAAAATGTTGTTAATGATACTTTAAAATTGTTGATGTATTACATATCAACTGTATATCTTGAATAATTTTATTAATTTTTAAGTAACAATTCCACTCGGCCTAAAGTGGTGACTCTTCTGTGCATTGTAAAAAAAATCATATCTAAGGTAAAGGTCCAGACTTAATTTTATTTTTTATTTGTAGCAATACAATATTTCCTTAAAACTGACTGAGGAGAAACTAAATAAACGTAATTGCTCATATTAGTTTATGTCATTAAATAAACCCCACACGATGTAATACACCTATCAAATATCACTCGTGCATACTATGATCCTAAATGCTTAAAGTTTAGTTAAACAATGATGCTTTATTATATTTTTATTATCAGGAGCGGATCTAGATAATTTTCAGAAGGGAATGGAAATGTTAGGTTGAAAAAAGGAAAATGCTTTACATGTATATAAGATACGTTTACTTATAATTAAACAACTAAAAGTATAGGCTTTTTAAAGTGGAAGGGGAATAAGCCCCAAAAAAATGAATATGGATTACCTGAAAGTTTTTGAAAAAAAATAATAAATCGGGGACGTAACATCATTTTTGATAGGGGGCATCCAGTCATTCCAGAGAAAAAAAATCGACTTACCGGTCGGCAGAAGATGCTCACTCCTTAACGTTAACGACAGTTGCCAAAACTCAAAAAAATCTATTTCATGGTGGTTGAGCATGGAGGATGGATGGATAGGTTCAAACTTCTTTCAGGACTTATTTTTCTCGATCTCTAAAATAGATTATATACTACATTATACTAAATTACCCTTACATTCTTTACTATATTGCAACAAAAAGTGAGGATTCAATCTTTCCTTCAATGGATATTTTCTGTATTAAAAAAAGCTAGAAGTTTTGTGAGCAACGTGCTCACTAAATGATACCCCACCTCCCATATTATTATAATGACCAAGTCCCTGTTTTGCTCTTGGAGACCCGAAATAACTGTTAGATCAAAAAGAAAAATAGAAGGCCACAATGGCATTATGTAATGAAGAATTTATGAAAGTATCATTAAATTTATTCAGTGGTACAGTTGTTTGGCCAGTTCCGAATTTTGAACAGTTCCGAATAATTATAAATTAAAGAGATGATAAATAACAAGAGGTACTGTGAGCAATAAGCTCACTAAATGATACCCCCGCCTCTAATAATGTCCATGTTTCGCTATATATTGTTTACGGTAATGTGTAAAGAGGAATAACTCGTCTTATCAAATGTTATCCAGAAGCTTCGAATTCTATATATGACGCCATAGGTAAGGATATAATGGCAATGTCCATGTTTTGCTATAGGAAACCTAAAATACGTGTCGAATGAAAAAGTAAAATAGGAGGCGCACAATGGCAATATGTAATAAATATTCTATGAAAGTTTCATTAAATTTCACTCAGTAGTGTAGGAGGAGTTACGGATAAGAGATGGGTACCCGAAAGCGTAACAGACGGACGGACGGGTGGACGGACGGACGGAAATACCGATTACAATATACCCTCCCACTTTTCAAGCGGGGAGTATAATAAATTCAAAGGTATAAAACTAAATTGATATCTATGTAAGAAGCCTTATTTATGAGTGTTTGAATTATGTAAAGTTTTGATTTTTTGCCGTCAGTTCGGTTTCGTTATCGCACTTGAAACAGTCGACATACTTTTACAATGCAACAAATCTGAATCACCGTGAGGTGTGAGTCTGCAGAAAAAAACCTGTGTAGCGACGTCAATTTTTCACATAAAACAATGTTCAAGGGATCAAAAATAAGTTTGATATGTTCTCTAAGAAATACTAAAAACTTGTCTTAAACTATAGGTACTGTGAGCAATGACCTCACTAAATAATACCCCGCCTCCAATATGAATATACTAGCAGTATCCATGTTTTGCTCTGAAAAATCTAAAATATATATCAGATCAAAAAGTAAAATAGGAGGTGCACAATGGCAATATGTAATAAAGATTCTGTGAAAGTTTCATTAAATTTCCTTCTGTGGTATGAGAGGAGTTACGGATAAGAGATGGGTACCCCAAAGCGTTACAGACGGACGGACGTACAGACAGGCGGACGGACATACCGATTGCTATATACCCTCCCACTTTTTAAGCGGGGGGTATACTATATCTTTAGAACACTGAAAGATATCTGAATATTTTCGTGTTGTAATTTTACTAGTTCTGAATACCCATTATAAATACAGGCACCTGACGTTACTTATTTTTCTTTTAATGAAAAAATACCCTTACCTAATAATAAAGCATTTTTTTTTATTAAAAGGAAAATAAGTAACGTTAGGTGCCTGTGATGATAAACACTATTATATAATCATTCTTCGTTGTTTTCTTCATTGTAAACGGGACTTATTATACTCCCTCCCCCCAACCCTGCTTGTAAAGGGTGCTCCCGCTCCAAACCCCAGATACTAATTTCATGTTGATCGAACCAAAAATCCTATAATTTTGAAAAGCGGGAGGGTATATAGCAATTGGTATCTCCGGACGTCCGTCTGTTACGCTTTGGGGTATCCATCTGCTATTTGCAACTTCTCTCATACCACTGAATGTAATTTGATGACACTTTCACAGAATCTTTATTATACCCCCCGCTTGAAAAGTGGGAGGGTATATAGTAATCGGTATTTCCGTCGTCCGCCCGTCCGTCTGTACGTCCGTGCGTCTGTTGCGCTTTGGGGTACCCATCTCTTATCCGCAACTCCTCTTATACCCCTGTTTGAAATTTAATAAAACTTTCACAGATACATCCTCCTATTTTACTTTTTGATCCGACACATATTTTGGGTTTCCTGGCCACAACAAAACATGGACTTTTCTATTATAATCATATGGGAGGCGGGGGGTATCATTTAGTGAGCTCATTGCTCACAGTACCTCTAGTTACATATTGCCATTGGGCACCTCCTATTTTACTTTTTGATCCGACATATATTTTGGGTTTCCCAAAGCAAAACATGGACACTGGCATTATATTCATACGGGAGGTGGGGGTATAATGTAGTGAGCTCATTGCTCTAGTCACAATTGATTTCAATATTATATTTCCAAATTAATAAGCCTTTGAACATTTTCTATAATAAAAACACAACAAAAATTTGGGGCGCTCTTCTTTCTCTTCCCTTTTAGCAAATTTTACTCAGTGGTGTAAGAGGAGTTGCGGATTAGAGATGCGTCCCCCAAAGCAGTTATGATTAGCAGTGGTTTACGGCAGAAATGATTGTTTAAGCGGGGATGCTAACTCCTCCCATGCGTCTGATCTTATCTCTGGAGTTTCCGAGGATATAATTTTTGCCCTGTTCACAAGTTTGCCTTCCTTGTAGGATTTTTGAGATTGATATCCTTTTTGTTATCTTCACTTGTATAATTTCTATATCCACGTTTTAACCACTTTAAAAATTTCTCTTAAATTAGATTGTTATAATATACTGAAAGGAAAAAGAAACGCAGGGTAAAATTTGAGATGAATCAAATTTATTTTCCGTTTAATATTTTTCAGTACTCCTATCTTACTTTTAAAATCATCTTTTAAAAAGATATTATCAAAATCTCATTTGATTTTGTGTAATAATTAATGAGTTATTGAAACTCATATGAAGATACCCACCCCCACCCCCCAAAGTGAAAATCAAAAAGTCTCATTAACTTCAATGTCTCTCCCGCGCATCTGTCAGACCCTTATTTCTCCTTTGCAAGGAATTCATTAGTGTGTTTATTTTTCTATCCTTAGCTATATTGAAAAAATAGTCATACGACGCGCGCATGCGCCAGGGAGAGGAACACAACAGTAATTTGACCGGCTCAAAAAACTGAATTGTATTTTATTTTATGACATGCTAACTCGTAGTGCCCACAGAAATGGCGATTGTTCTCATTTCAATATATCTATATAACAATTGACAAATAATCCCTCTTTCTTTTCATACATTTATTTTATCGACGGAATAATTTTTAAAAATAATTTCGGATACACATAAATAATCTGACGCTAAGGCAATGCTACTGCTTTAGGTAAAAATAATATTAACTAGAGCAAAGCTTGTTGCAAAGCAATGAGTTGGTGTTCCGTCCGATTTACGATCATGACTGTGATATAGTTTTACTTTAAAAAAGAAGTTAAAACAAGTAAAGATTAAAAAGAGCTTCGATTATTCAAAATATGTTTAGATACTCGATATTTTTTTTAATTTCAAATAGTTTCCGGTTCTTTTTTTCTTTCACCTTCGGTATGACAGGTAGTGCTCAAAAGACTGAATTAAAACTCCATAATTAGTGCGTACAAATCTTTTCTGAAAGTTTGGATAAAAATACGCATTTTTGGACAACTTCAAGTTTAGAAGAACCAACTTCTAATGATATAAAATGACTTGAAACACCCTTTTTGTCTATGTTATAAACATTTAAAAATTGAAAAAAACAAAATACATATTTTTTAAAATACGTCCAGTGGAAAACGGAAGTAATGCCGATGAAAAGGAGACAAATGTACAGATCAAGATCGATTATCACAGAAATTTTCATTACTGAATCTTAAATCGTTTTTGAGAAAATGCACAGACAAAATAATAAGAGCTTCTTTTGTGTAATGCGGACACCGTCGGTTTTAAAGACCCAATTTTTTTACCGTACGGTTACCTGAGGAGGGGGAGTGGTCAAAGTAACAGTGGTGTTATTTACCTGGAGACCCCCAATACCCAAGATGTCAAAAATCTGTGTATACGTAGCATTACACAGGAAGTCTGTGTTTGGTAATCAGGGTCAACATTACGTGTTTTGTGTCTGGTTTTGAGTGAAACTACGTAAAATAATTATTTTAATATGGAATTTATTTCTAAACAAAACGCATTCATCGTAATCATGGTATTGTTTTGAAGGAAAAAAAATAATAAGATACATGTATATCGTTTTAGAAAATGTTTTCCTTACATAAAAGAAAAATTCACGAGTAAAAACTACAAATCAATAATATTTATCTTTTTTAATCTTCAATAAAAGAAATCACTTGATTAAAAAAGTCTGACTATTGAAATAAAAAATTATTGATCCACCTATTCGTCGTGCATGTGAACATGCATTTAACGCGATCGGAATGTTTTTTTTTTTTATGACCAACAATGTTGTCCAAAATATTCCATATTTTTGATTCTTTGTGTGCTAACAAAATTTAATTGTTAGAAAGATTTCTTTTCAGAATCGATCACTATTAATTATCATCACATTTTCATTACTTATATAAACATACGCTAGAGGAAATTCGAGCATTAATTCTGACATCAATTTCAGTACAACATCGTGCGGATTGCATCCATATAGGCCACAAAATAAAACATCTTTTAAAAACTATGCTATGCCGTTTATAAGTGCTGAATATTTTTCTTATATCCCATTTCTTAAAAAATAATTTAATTCGTCGGACTTCTAATTACGGCAAATAGAGAGCCGGTTTCTGTGGACGCGTTTTTTTTTTTCTACAGATAAACGTGGACGATATAGCACAAGTAACAAACAGCAGTGAAGATAGAAATAAAATATTTTATTATGTCAATGTTTTAATAATCTTTCAGATATTTTTTAAAGAAAATTCAAACATATTGGAGTTTTCGAATCCGCGTGTATACTATGCGGGTACATGAAAGCGTTTGACGCGTGACCAGGTAATTGTTTTCAAAACATGCAAACTCAGATTATCAGAAAGCACAGGTAGCTGAGCTGTCAATCAAATCAGAAGCTATTGTTTTTTGAATGATTGACAGGCGGTAAATTATTGATCTTGAATCAGGTAGATTTTGGGGGCGTTAACATAAAATTGGGTGTTTAAAGACAATTGGAGAACATTTTAATGCCGCTTAATCCGAAATAGGTACATATTATCTTTCACAAGAAAAGTACGTCATTACATAGAAAATATATGAAAATAAATCATAAAATTTATTGAATAATTTATTACAACAATCCTTACAAGGAAAACATAGATCAGACACCTTATTGACAAGCAGAAGTTCCTGACGGGAAGTTAAGATCTGTCGTGAAGTCACCTGTGCAAAAATAAATTTATCGGTTACATATAACTCAAAAGAACAAACACGCGTATTTTTTTTCATTACTAGTAAAAGCCTAAGTCATGATATATCTTTTAAAATTTAGAAAGTAATTTTTGTGTTAATATGCACATTTAAAAGAATAATGGAAAATCAGGCCTTTTTAAAGATTTTTTAAAAGAAGTTTTTCTTGTACAGGTGTTAGTCTTTGTTGTGAAAAAAATTGCTCTGGTTTGTTCTTCATAATGAGCTATAAGCTCCCGATAAATTTAATTTTTCAAAGATGATTTCACGCAAATAGCGATATCGTTATAGAATTATTTTTTGTGTGACTTCACAAAAATTATTTTTTTTAACTTCTGAATTTTGGTATTTTTTAAAAGAAAAAGACTTTGGGGATATACAGTGGACCTTCAGATATCCGGACGCCAGATATCCGGATGCTTCAGTATCCGGACGATTTTTCATCGAAACGGAGTTTTTTAATGTTACCTTGTCTTGTTTAACCGGGATTCAGGTATCCGGTCGCTTCACATATCCGGACAAATTGACTGTTAACCAAAGCGTCCGGATAAATGAGGCACTACTGTAATTCGACAAAAGTTGAAACAATTTATGGACAATTATTTTTCCAAAAAAAAAATGAATATATTTTTTTCGCGATTAGAATCGGATTAGCGGCTTTTAGCAATGGAATTTAATATAAAGATCGAACTTAAAATTACTATCGTTTTAGGACAGATATCTACCTTGACAGTAAAATTTCCTTCTAGACTTTTTAACCTATTTGAATACATAAAATTCTTTGGAAAGCTGTTAGCGTGGTATAATGAAGAACGATCAATTTGTTCAGAAGTGGCAGGTTCCTGTAAGTAAAGAATAAAACGTTTTGTTGATTGATTTATTAATTGGCTGTCTCTTGTTTCACGTCCCGTTCGAGAGTCTTTCACTTGTCATTTATCAGAGACTTCACCATACATCAGCAAAGCACTTCCAATTAGACCTTTGCTCGGCACTCAGGGTAATTGAGCAGTAAAGTATCTTTGCCTTGCTAACGCCTGCTGTGACAAAGGTCCTCGGTTTTTAAGGTCTCATCCAAAGGATACTACTACATTCTGATTAACACTTTAAAAAAAATGTCACAAGTAACCCATAAAAGTGATCTGACCTAAAAGTAAATAATCTGTCATTGATTACTTTGCTTGGAATCATTGGATGCAGAGACATTTTAATGTCGGGGTCTATGAGCAATAAACGTAAACAATAGATAGACCTGATAGCATATATCTGTTTATTGGTTAAATTTAGTCTCAGTTTTTCTTCTTCCTCATTAATTTGAATATTTTTCTTATCAGGTCCTCCAGCTGTTCACACTTTGAATAATTCAACGGCCATAGAGGGAACAGACTTCAACAAAAAATGCCTCTATAATGTAGGAAAACCACCAGAGACTAATGTGTACTGGACACGACAGGGCAGCTCTTTCAGACATGAAGGGGATGTACTTAGTCTGACAAAAATACAACGCAGTAGTTCTGGTACCTATACATGCACAGCACAAAATCAATACTCATCAGGAAACAAAGGACAGAGCAAGCAGTCCATGACCATCGATGTAGAATGTGAGTTTGTAATTCTAAACTGTTGGATCAAGAAGTTCTTTCGTCTTCAGCGGAAGACCTTCTTGTTATTCTTAGATTTCTTTTCGACTATTTTTATTATTATTGTTTTTTCTGACTGATTTTGCCACGCCAATTCGAGAGAACGACTTAATTGATTTTATTGAAACTTTTGAAACTTTCAGGTCTGATAGAACATAAAAATGATTAAGATATATATTTATTTTGATGACGTCACTTCCGGTTAGTGGGGTTTCCGCAATTTAATGAATTTAAGAGTGTCACTTAGCCTGGTCCCATGGATAATCCTTGACAAAGCAGGAAACGCAGAGTATACGAAGCAAAATAGAGGCAGGGAACCAGGCTAGTCGGTCACTTTGTCTCAAGTTTTCCCAAAAAGCACTGAACATAGAAGTATGAAATTTTCAATGATGCTAGATCAATCTTTGGAGAAGCGAATTTTGTTACCATCGGAAGTACGAAGCACCGACGCTCGCTGTGGTCCGAAAATAGTCCTATCGCGAATTTTAAAATTTCTTACACTTTTTCGAAGATACTTTTTTACCTGGAAATATTTTGTTAAAACATATAGAATAAAAAGAAGTTCAGAATTCTGAGGTCTTTCAAATTGTATCTAAAACGAAGGATTGATCCCTAAAATAAGTGATTTAGTTGGGCTAGAAGTTTTTTTTTTTTCTAGAAATGGGACTAAAAGTGATATCTTTTAAAGTCTTGAGAATTTGTAATATATTAAAGCAATATGAGCTGCAACTTTGATGTCAGAATTTTTTGTTGCAAAATTGTAAATTACTATTCCAATGACAGAAAAAAAGCTTTAATAAACTTCTGCAGTTTATATTTGCGATGGATTGATTGATTGATTGTATACTGTTCGGCGTCCCTCTCCAGAATATTTCACTGATATGGAGACGTCACCATTGCCGGTGAAGGGATGCAAATTTAGGCTTATGCTCGGTACTTACCGGCTTTTAGCAGGGAGGGATCTTTATCGTGCTACACCTGCTGTGACACAGGGCCTCGGTTTATACGGTCTCATCCGAAGGACCGCCCCATTTAGTTGCCTTTTACAACAAGCAAAGGGGTACTGAGGACCTATTCTAACCCGGATCCCCATGGGGCTATTTGCGATGGAAGAACAATTTTTAAGCTTCAATTGAATCAAAATTACTTTATTGTCGTCCTGTACAATAATGATTTCTTGTATAATACCGTATATTGGATTGTACATCTATATAGAAGTATTTCGTCTGATTTGTTTTATTCCAATTGATAATAAAAGCTTAGGTTACATAAAATTTATCATAATAGCATATGTTAACAGCAAAATAAAATTTTCAAAAATGCGGCTCATATTGCGATTATACAAGCAAAGTTGTTTAAAATGTCAAGTAGTATCTAAAGAGATAATCAAAATACGTTCATTAACGTTACTTCCGGCCAAACCGGATGTAGTTAGAATATGCATATTTTTGCCATTATTGACATGTTCTTGGGTAATATCTGTCTCTGGAAGCATAAAAAGTATTTTTCCGTCCATTGACAGCACTTCCGGTTGGACCTAAAGTAGCCAAAAAAAGCTTGCTTTTGCAATAATCAACATAGATTGGGAGAATATATTCAAAGAATCATTTGAGACGTCATTACTCATTTTATTTTCAAACTAGAGGTATTGTGAGCAAGTTGCTCACTAAATAATACCCCGCCACCCATATGAATATAATGGCTGATCAGGAAGTGAAATTGGAGCTGCACAATGGTAATATGTAATAAAGATTCTGTGAAAGTTTCGTAAAATTTAATATTTATAAATCATATATAACATAAAAAAATCTAGATTTATATATATTTAATTTTACGACGTCACATCCCATTCGGAGTTTTCTGCGATTTGGTGTTTTCAGAGGGTCACTTTGTCCGGCAGTTTTCTCAAAAAGCACTGTACATACAAGTATAAAATTTTCAGTGATGCTAGAGTTTGGAGAAGTGAATTTTGTATATAATTGCCGCCGAAAGTATGAAGTACCGACACTCGCTACAGTTCGTAAATAGTCCTATCGCGAATTC